TGTTGACTTCTTGATAGTCTACTACAGATATTTAAATAGAGATACGTGGGTTTCTATGACGGTGTTTAAGTTGGACTTTCAAGAGGGCCCTTTCAGAAAACTGCAGATAACTGCAGTAGGGCTCAGGAATAGGCTGCCAGGAAAGGAGGCTGAGTGGACAGAGAGGTCAAATGGGAGGTCAGGGGGTCCAGATCAAGTAGGACCAACAACACCTGGAACAACAGCTTGGTAAGTGTAATGCTGAGAACAAGGTGGTGACTCTGGAGGGGCCTTTGCAGGGGAGGGAAGGAGGTCCTGGAGTGGTCAGCTGAGCGTTTAGAGCTCAGATAGAATACTCAGTGGACTCCCCCTCAACACACACATACCTTTTTCCAGTTTCTGCTGCCGTCAAATGGTGAAAGCCCACGTGTGATTAAGGGGCTGGAGCCCCTGTAACAAAAACATTGATCTGTGTATTTTTGCCCTGAGCTTGGCAGCTGCAGGGTTGTCCTACTGCTGTAGATTTTGTGCCAACATCCGGTCACAGCTTCTGTATGGCTAGTTTGTGAGTCACCCCGAACCTGGTGACAGTGAGGTCAAGATTTGGACCAGGTAGCTTTGCTCTACTTCTTGGCCACAGGCTTCTTTGTGAATGCAGCTGTCTGTCTCAGAGCTGGGTGCTGTAGCCACAGGGCCAACTAGATAGCACCTATGGCCCCATCACCGCCAGGAGCAAGGGCACATCCAACTTGGTGATGGCCCAGAAAGGTCAGTTTTGATTTAGTGTAGCACAAACTTACTTATTGTTTATTCTCATTCTTAATCTAATCTTGTGTTTTCACACACAAAAAAACCAAAAACCAAAACAAAACAAAACACGGTAACACAACAAAACCTCGTCAAGATTGCAGAGGAGTTCTAAAGTTCCAGAATGAGCATCACTGATCAAAGTCCCCTAGGGTCAGAACTGCCCTTGACAGTCCCTTAGGAAGGTACCTTGTTGGACACCGCCCCAGTCAGTCAGTAAGTCCTCACTGCCAGCGTTTCCTCTAGCATTAGAACTATCATGGCTGCTTTGGTTAAACACCAATGGACTAGTTCTCAAACCTGTCTTTAGACGGCAGGTCACGCTTAATATAGTCAGAGAAATGCTCATGCCATGAGAAGCATGCAGGAACCAAGACCAGCTGAGGAACAAAAACCTCACATCTCCCAGCTTGCACACATGTTAGGGTTCTGTGGGAATTGCCTTTTTTTCTTGTTTCCTTCTCCCTGCCACACAAACTCACTTTGTTGAGTCTACAGAAGTTAAATCTGTATGTATAGTTTCACTGTGCTTTTTTTTTTTTTTTTGTGTCTGAGTGTCTCATAAAGCAGGGATTCTCTTAGCTGGCCAAGAAAGTGCTGTTTAGGGAAGAAACATTATCTTGAGGCAGACTTTTTCAATGCTACTTTTAAATCCTTTTTTTTCTTTTCTTTTGTTTTTTTTGAGACGGGAGTCTTGCTGTGTTGCCCAGGCTAGAGTGCAATGGCATGAGCTC